CTCGCCCTCTTTCACCTGTCAGTGCCTGGCCAAGGCGTGGGCGTGGGATCCACTCAGAGCCAATCAGGGATCCTGCCTACATGAATCATGCTTCTGTGTGGAAAGCTAATCCCGTCTAAAGACCTGGACAGTGGTCTCTCTGCCCAGGACTGAAGAGAGAAGGAGGAGGCTGAGCCAGCCAAGCTGAGCACAAGAGGACTCAAGTTCTGCAGTCTTGGGGCTGGAGAGATGGCTCAGTGGTTAAGAGCACTGGCAGCTCTTCCAGAGGTCCCAGGTTCAATTCCCAGCCCAGTTCCACCTTTCACACCAATGCACATAAAACAAAGTTAAATTTAAAAAACGTTCTGCAGTCTTGTGGAAGACCCAGTCAATCTCTACCTATCTGTACCAGGTTCCATCCCTCACCTATAGTTACAGAGATCAGTGAAATCTCTTTGTGACTTTAATCCAGCCAGAAATAACATTTCTGTCACAAATCACTTGTACTGGCGTGGGGGTACAGCATTATGCCTTCACCCATGGCTGCAACCTGTTATACAGGGGTGGCTGGGCAGGACAGTGGGACTCTTCAGCCCAGAACGGAGCAGGTTGGTTGGTGGTGGTGAAAGCCGTTTAGCATGATGGCAGGGCTCATTACGATGCCCCGGGCCTTCCCTGACTGAGGCTTGGAGTCTTCCTGAATTCTTGAGTCCTGAAATGGCCCCTCCCCCTCAACCCCCCCTTTTTTTTTTTTTTTTTTTTCTTTTCCCCTCTTATGTTCATTGGAGTCAATCTCTTGGGAATAGATTTTTGTGATCCTGAGCTTTGACGCCACCTGGCCTGGCTTCTTTTATTTGCTGCAACCCATGTGATTTCTGAGTCTTAGTTTTTCCTCTGTAAAATGGACAGACTCACAGGATCACATTACTGTGTCTCTTAAGAGACAGAGCAAGGATGTCCTTGGCCTGGAACCTGGTAGAACCAGGGCATAGAAATGGGAGGTGATAAAGGCTTCTATTTACCCAGCATGCCACTGTGCCGGGCCCTACCTCTCGGGTCCGGAAGATGATCCTGTATTGGTACTGAGGTCCGTGGTCCTTATGATCTTCCAACTTCTCCCGCTTGATGCTCACTGCCACGGGACCCAGCTTTTCATCCACGCCGAAGTAATTGGCATGCTCTGCAAAGGGAGCATGGAGACATATGGTCAGGTATCCAGAAGGAGAGGGCATGGCCCATGGCGATTGGCCCATGGCGGTCTGCTCATGGCGTACTGGGAGGAGGATAAGGGGCAGGGTGCAGTCTCACACAAAACTCAGGAATTTAAGGCCAGTGGAGAAACCCTAGGAGTTTGATCAAAGCCTGGCTTTCGGTACCAGAAAAGTCACAGGCCTTTTCTGAGTCTCCGTACTCTCATCTGAGGAACAGGGACCCAGAGGCTACCCACAGTTCAGAGCTGGTGTGTGACAGGAAGACCACAATGATGAAAGGCTTGGAATAGTACACAGCGGGTCATCAACCCTGGGCCACTGAGATTAATCCTGGCTCTGTTAATGGCTGGCTGGGTTTAGCTCCCATTAGCTGTTGTGAAGCAGTTAAGCCCTGAGCCTAGGGAGTCTCCTGCCAGAAAAAATTCTGGGTTGAGATTAGATATAAGGCCCCAGCCAGATCACATGATGGGATTCTTTGCAGTCAAATGGGCTTAACTCAGCAATGTGAGGATTAATTGAGTTAGCATGGCACCAGGCTGGCACACAGGGAGCATATAGCTTAAATGCTGGCCATTAGTAGCGTAGGGCCTAGGATTTGTTTAGGGCCCTGACACAGATCCCTAGGTCATGCCTGCATCTGACTATGTATCAGACCTGAGTAATGGAAATACTGAGGGTGACAGACATAAATGAGCCAGGGAGCCAGGTTTCTGATATCCCCCCTTTCCTGGACAAGTCGCTGAGAATTGTACCCGAAACAGTTCTTTCCGATATCCAACCCGAGCGTTTTTTGTGTGTTTTTTTTTTTGCCTCATCCCACCAGCAGCCTGTGTGACTCCTGACGTTATCAGCAAAATTTCAAGAACACAGCAAATACCTATTTCTTGTTCTCGCTCTGTATGTTTAACTGGCGGCCCCTGTTTTCAGACGGACCTGGGTGAATCCAAGGCTAATCCCAAATAATGGGTGCAAACTAATCAGAACGGCACTGCCCATCACTCCACAGGTGGGAGGGTGTCCTCTCCTCAAGAGGCTACCGATTTGCTGTTGATTTTTTTGTTTGTTTTTTTCTTTTTACCTGCATATGACACCCAGCATCTAAGAACACGGTCAACGCTCAACAAACATTAATCTCAGGCTTCCATGGCTACAAAGGAGTCATTTCAGAAAGGCTACTTTAAAAAATTTGGGGAGCAGACAAGTTCTTCCTATATTATCCTGTGTTGTCCTTGAATGTGTTTATGTAGACTAAATTGGCTTTACACTGGAAATGCTCCCACCTCAGCCTCAATACTGGGACTCATCGTTGGTGATGCCTGGAAGGAAATGGCTACCTCCCTCACCCTTTACTTTCTTTCTTTCCCTTTTGAGGCAGGCAGGGTGGCACCATGCAGCCCAGGACTACTTCAAACTGAAGATTCAGCTGCCTCAGTCTCCTGAGTGCCCTACCGTACTCTGCTTCTTGGTGAGTTCTTTTTTTTTTTTTTTTTTTTGGCTTTTCAGAGACAGGGTTTCTCTGTGGCTTTGGAGGCTGTCCTGGAACTAGCTCTTGTAGACCAGGCTGGTCTTGAACTCACAGAGATCCGTCTACCTCTGCCTCCCGAGCGTTGGGATTAAAGGCGTGCGCCACTACTGCCCAGCCTTGGTGAGTTCTAACAACCAGCGTGAAATAGCCCTTTCACCCCTTAGGCACTTTTCATCTTGGAATCCAGGGCTACTGAAAGGGCCCCTCAAGGTGCCTCATCAGCTTTCTTTAGCTAGGACCTGGATGGAATTCTACTTTACCCCTTTTGCTGTTTATCTTAGTGCCATTTTGGGTAGGGTACCGGGATCCACTAGCATCAACTCCTTTTCTCCCAATGAGGCCAATCTTTGGGGTGAACTGTGTCACAAAGCAAACAAGCTATCAGACAGGACACTCCAACCCATGGTCTAACTCGAGATTGGCTCCAGAAACCACTCTGAGCCCTGTGGAGAACCTAGCTGACATCTGTTACAACTGCCAAGAACTGTTTATTTTTGGTGGTGCTGGGGCCTGAGTACTAGGCTGTTGCTCACTGTGTCCTCCCAGGCACCGAGTATGCCCCTGTTTTCCCGGCACCCTCAGTAACGAGACAGGGTCAGATGAATAAGCAGTGGGTGTTCTTCAGAGGCAAGCTGGGGCCCCAGCCACTGGCCAGCATCAATCACCTTTGCCCACGAAGTAGTCCTGGTAGTATCGAGCACCCAGGTCCACGTGCTCGATGCTGT